TATCTTTTGATACAAATACATATTTATGTACATGTAGATACATCATATTTTTATTTGTGCGTGATGCAATCATATGGGCACACGTCAAGAACACAAAGTGTGTATTACTGATAGTCATATGTATATATACAAATTCCCTCAGGAAATTATTCGCTTCGTTCACATTTACCACTTAATAGACGTCAAACTGATAGTAGATAAATTCATTACAGATCTTTTATTGATTATTTTCCCTGAAATAGTTTCACCTGTAATACATTATAATTTTCCAACAAAAAGTTACTTAGGTTTTTTTTTTTAAGTTCATTAAGAGAAAAAACTAGTTCACTTACATCAGATAAATTTGTTTTTTATTTGTATAAAAAAATAAAATTTAATGCTCATCCTTCTTTGACTGTCCATATTTTACAAAAATAATTCAGTAAATATTTTTAATTAGCCTTTAGTGTTTAAATTCTTCTGCAAGCTTTCAAAGTATAAGGTCAAGTAGAAAATAATAATAATAAAATATAATTTAATGAAATTGCTTTAAATTACTCTGCACATCTGTTATTTTTTAAAGTTAATTTTTAAATTTCAATAACTTAAACAAAAAAAAACAAAATTTTATTATAAAAATCTTTGTTTAAGATAAGTCAACAATAAACATCGTAATATATATTCCTTGTGTGTTTATTTTAATTTTATTTGATTGATAAAAGCAATCTCGTTACATTAAATATTATTATAATAATAATTCGAGTATGTATTTAGTTTAGTAAATATAAAGTTGATAAATATTGGAAAAAATCAAGAAAAAGGAGTAATAATTTGACCTGAAGGATTAATACAAAAATTTGAAGATCCAAGATAAAAAGAAGAAAGGAGTTTGTCATTTAAGTTATTACTCACATGTGTCAAACAGATTTTTATTGTTCCGGGAAACAATAAAAAATCTTAAAGATTAAGATAGGAAAGAAGGTGTTAGAAAACAGAATAAAACCAAATGAAAATTGAAATCTCTCAATTACTACTACTATGAAAAATTAAATAAATTTTTCTATGAATAACATTATGTTTTGCGATGATTATATAGATCCAATTAAAATTCATGGCAATCACTAACCCAAGTTAGTGTAAGTATGTTATGTTCATTGACAGTATTTGCGCGTACTAGATTCTCATCAAAGTAGAAAATATTATTTTAAATTCAACTCCAATAAAATTAATTAACTAATTAAATAAACGAAATATTCGTTAGCTTATTTAATTCTAGCAAAGAAGATACTATTGAATATAATGAATATTTTATTTCAATAAAATTAAAATCATGAAGATATTTAAATTGAGAAATACATTAAACATTTACAAAATAAAAATTACTATTTTTGATACATTTATATAAACATTACTTTTGTATTTATTTTTAAATTGTCTGATTTATTCTTAGTACATATTAAAGTTTATCAAAATTAATTTGAATATGTATTTATGTGTATGTTACATAATTTATAAACGAATATCAAACTTTAGATCAAAAATAAAATATATAATGGTCACTACTAAATTGTTTTGGTATTTTAGTTCCTTTGAGCTTGAGAACCGCCAGAGAAGAAAAGCAGTTTATTTATTTTTTGTCATAGAGAATATGCCGATACCAATGAGAATAAAGAAAGAATTTATGCGTTTCATATGAAGAAAGAGTACGTGCCATAAGTATAGGATTACATTTCTCTTTTATTGAGACAACCACGTGTGACTATCTCACTAACGAATTTGCACCCCAACAGAAAACTGTTGTTAAAGTAACAACAATATTTATGTAAACGAAGTTGTATGTTGAAAGTCCTAGTGGGCCTTAGTTTAGTTTATTCTCAACTGTTCTTTGGAGTGTGTCGTATCATTAACAAATTGTATTCTAAAGAGTGTTGGATAACAGTGCCAATAAGTGAAGTTAGTGTGAAGAGAATGGAGAATAATAAAAGGTAAAACAATTGGGATCAATCAAATTGAACTTATTGTGTTGTTCAAGTGTTTTTGCGCATCATTCATAAAATAATCTTAGTTTTTTTGCGATAATTGGGAAATAAATCTTGGTACTAGTATGTTAATTAGAAGATAAATTACAGTAATTCGTCTTTGTTTATAGAAAACGGAGAGGACGAAGACATCTTAATGAAAAAAACCAGCTGAAATATTGCAAAGAATGCGGTTATAAAAGTGATCGTCGTTTTAATGTTGAACGACATCGAGAACGAATCCACAGTAAATCTATTGTCAAAAAATGTTGTAGTAAGTATGATAAATATTTTCTCTCGTTATCCATTAGTGTAATAATATTAAATATTTATTACAGATATTCTATTTTTCACAAAAAGTGATTTTTATCATCACATTGAAGATTACCATCCTAGCATAAGATCTTCTTGTTTTGTGTCGAAAAGAAAATATAAAATATATGGTCATACATCAAAATTATCAATTGTAAATAGTAGCATTATTAATGATGATCATATAACTACACGAAGATCAATAAGAATTCAAGAACAGGTAATAAAAAAAAGCAAATTGACTGCAAACGAAATTTCAACTGCAGTTGAAATTCATGCATGTGAAGAAAGTGAGAAAAACGATGGTAATATTAATAATGATAGACGAGAACATATTCAAGAGAATATTAACATAGTGTCTAAGTTACCTTTGAAGAAACGCATTTTATGCGAAATAAATGATAATGTCAACTATAGAACAATATCGACAAGTAATAAAGCGAAAATTAAAAAAATATCTTTTGACGAAAATCAAAATCCAATTGACCTTTTTTTTAATGAATATCGAGGTGCAACAATAGTACAACAAATATTAACTATGGAAGAATCCATGCAAATGTGGCAAAGTATTACTCAACATCAAAGGGATTATTTAAAACATATTGATTTCAATTCATTGTGAAAATTTTTATTAATTAATAATAGTTGCTTTTTGTTTTAATATTTCTATAATGGTATTTTTTTATCTAATAATTGACTTGAGTATAATTAATTTTATTAATATTTAAGAAATTCAGTTTATACTTTCATTAACTCACTTTAATGTAATTATCATTTTTATTCTTACTATTTTTGAATACTTTAAAAGTACAATATGATTTATAAAATCAAACAAAAAAAATTAACTGATAAAGAAAACAATATGTGCATATTAATTTAATCAAAAAATCCTATTCATGATTATTCAATAAGTACTAGATTCATGTATTCAGTCAACTAGTATTAGTTATAGACTATGTGCACTTCTACCTTGTCTGAAATGAACAATGACGAGATTTGGGGCCATTCAGCATTGTTTTAACTGAGCTTTCATTTTTCGATTCTCTCGAGTATACATCAATGTCCAAAAGCTTCGACTTTTAGTTTTGATCACTTTGGTGAGTATTTTGTCAGGCATTAGATTAACACATGTCATTTTATTAAGAATCATCTCCAAATATATATTTGACTTTTACTCTTACAGGTTTGATTGTTTCATAGATTGATGATAGGTGTATGAAGATTAAGGAGATTAAAATAGGACATAGGATTTAATGGATTGGTCGATCATCAGACTATTGACTAGATGTGGAGTATTTGCCTACTATTAATGTGCAAAGGGGCTGAACATACCGGAAACTAACTCCATTTACTACTGTTACTGCTGCCCAAATGCTTGATACAACAAGGTAGCGAATTAGATCATCCCTTCTCAGTATAATTTATGATCCTGTGTGAATTTCACGTTACACATTGATTTGCACAACACTCGGCACTAAAAACTATTTCATCAGATTATAAATTAAAAATTAAATGCTTGAATTTGTTTAACAACCATATCAATAACATATATTCATAAAAAAAAAACGAAATAACAATCATATTTCTATAGCATTGATATTTGTTATATGAATTGAGTTACTGATATTAAGTGTCAACGGCAATCGATGGTAGTAACTAAAACGAAATATAAAAATAAACTATCTATAAAATACTCAAAAGAATATATTAATATTTAATCAAACTATAGAATTTAAAAAAAGAATATTTTTATATTTTTCATTACAGTTTTAACTGATATATATTCACAGAATAAGGAATTTAAATAAATTGTTCTTCAAAAAACTGAACACAAAGTATTAATACAAGTGATTTTGATATGATGATATAAATTAAATTGCGTAATATCATAATCGAAAAATCATAATATACATAAAGTACTAAATCTTTATAGGAAAATTGTTCTAAGTAAAACGAATGAATTATTCCCATTAGAATTTACGACAACGTTGAAATTATTCTCGGCCTCTAGAGACTTAAGTTGTATATCTGCAAGAAACTATTATTACTTTATGTTTGTTGTTTTGTGCTTGCCATGTATTTACAAGCAGTTATATTTCTTCATAATCCTTATTCTTTTATTTAATTTAAAACACTTTCAACTATTTATGTATTGTATCAATTTTTTTCGGTTTCTATTACTATTTTTTTTTTTTTTTAATTCAAAAAGGAGATGAATTAACTTATGCATGTAATTCTGTTTGAATATAAAGTGGAGATGTCAATTTTAACAATATCAACAAATGAATATTACTTTTTTTCTGAAAAAAAGTTAATTAAAATATTGAATGATTTATGTATCAAAGATATTATGATATTATTGGCATAAACTTGTATTTTATCAATTGATTATAATTCATAGAGTCAGAAACTCAAGTTAAATAGTTTGAAAGGGTGCTTTCTATGCTAGACATCCGACAGAATGACGCCACGTTATTGGCGAATATAAAAGCGCATGCGTTTCTGTTAGACGCGCCGCAATTTTGGAATCTTGTCAACAATTCTTACCCACTGTCTTTAGTACTTTTATCTTGGATAGATTTGATAAATTCTTTTTTCTAAAAATCTATTAATTATTGCTGTGAAATCCTTATGTCTTTTTTTATAATTTACTAATAAAGTGACGTTAATTATAATTGATCTTTATTTATGTGTCGATCTTCATAACTATACAGTCTGCCAATATTATATATTCTATTTAATATTATTGAAGGTAATGGACTTGAAGGAAAACGAAAAAATGAACGGTGAAAAAAGGTAAAGGATTATAGCTATTGTAATATTTATTTGATCAAGAGTTAATTTATATTGTAACTATGATTTGATTTTGAAGGATTGGAGTAGAACAATTCAAGATATTACTAGATAAAATACCACATATCTATTATTGTGGTCAAACAATTACAGGGAAAGTCCTCATTGAATTCGACTCAATAATTGCTGTTGCAGGTGAATTTTTTATCACTATTCCTCTTAATATATAATTTTATTATGTGCTAAATTCTGTATCATGTAAACAGTCCGTTAAAAATTTATTGATTTACAAGCAACCTGGTAAATTCTTTAATTAATCATATATAATTATCTGACAATAATTTTTCCATTGATTTAACTGTTATTATCAAAATAGAATATAGATAATGATCACTTGACATAAATGCTATAACTTTAATTATAATTTCATACATGTTAATTATTGTGACTAATAATTTTTCATTAATAATTTAATCAATAATATTTGTGCTTTTAGGCCTTACGTTGAATTGTAAAGGAGAAGGACATGTAAAATTTACTCATCGTTACATTGGATTAAAAAAGAAATGTGTTAGTGAAGAATTGTATCTGCAGCATGAAATAGAATTGATAAAAAGTAAGTTAAAACAATTTTTTATATTTTTGTTACTTATATGGTTAAATACACAATTCATTCAAAGTTTTTTTTTTTCAATTTCATTTCATACTAACTCAAATAAAAAATTTCAATCAACATTCTAGATGGACGTAGCGAAGTGGAAATGAAGAGTAATATTTTTTCATTCAATCTAAACCTTCCAGAAAAACTACCCTGTAGCTTCGAAGGTCGTTATGGCCGAGTACGTTATTCAATACAAGCCACTCTAGATATCAGTGAAAATTTATCAATTTTTTCCGATAAATTGTCATTTACTGTTGCTCCAATTTTCGATTTGAATAATCATCCCCTAGCACCGGTATATGTATTTATTTTTACATGTGGAAATATAACTGTATAATAAATATTTCCATAATTCTCTACAGCTTATTATTTTTTAGTTACCGATTAGTGAAAATTATACTAAAACATTTATGGGATACGCTGAACCACTTACTATATCAACATTCCTTCCTGTTCGTGGATACGTTCCAGGTCAAACAGTTCCATTAAAAATAAATTTGAAAAATGAATCGAATATCAACATTAAAAAAATACGAGTCGTACTAAAAAAGGTAATGAAAAAAATATCTATGTAAATTGAAGAAATTGATTTAAAGCTATATATTTTTTTTAAATCTAGTAAATACGAATATATTATATGTTAAAAAATTTCTTGTAACTTATAAATTCTCATTAACTACAGGTCGTTAATTATCGTTCATTGGAAAATGTACGTAAACATAAAGAAATTGTAGTGGAAATTGAACAGCCTGTTGAACTAAATTGCCTTGTTTATGATGCTAAATTTGATATACCTGCAATTCCGCCAACGGGGATTATTTGTAATTTAATTGATATTGAATACACTCTAAAAGTTGAAGCTTACATGGATATTAATGAATGGTATTCCAAAATGTTCTCTAAAAATCCTAAAATTCGAATGATTATAATTGTAGGAACAGTGCCTTTAAAAAATTATGAAGATCCTTTAGATACAGACGATGAATCTCTCCACGGAATTGATAAAAACTCAACGATAAATAATGAAAATGATAAAGGTCAAGCTTTAGAATTAACTTCTTCAGGTAAGTTCTTTTTTTATGATTTTATTAATAAAAATCAAGGCTTTTTCTTTTTTTGGAAATGCTGTTTTATATGAGATAATTATATTTTTAAACATCATTGAAGATTTTTTGATTTATTGGTAGGAAAACTTCAATATCAAAGCAGTCGTATTTATCGATCTTCAAAACCAGATCAAGATGATCCAACTGGTGATGAAGATGACAGTGATAAAAATAAAATATTTACACCCATGTATCGAGTTTATAAATTTAAAAATTCACATGAAACAATTCCAATAAAACAAGAGACATAAAAATAATAATCTATTTAAAATCACAGTAATAAAAATTATTCAATTATAATAATAATTCAAAATTTTTGGTATAATTCATAATAATATTTATAATTATTGAAAAACCGAGTAAGGACGTCAGTGAATATAAAAAAATCTGGACATTAATCACCATGAATGGTAAAGAGATTTTAAAATAAAAAGTTCTAAAGAATTAAATTATAAAAACTATACAAATTTATAAAGGATCAAGAATATCTGTGTATTAAAAAAACAATAGAAAAGTAAGCATCTACCCAGCTAGTAAAATTTAACAAAAATGTAGTTGTATAAAATTCTTGAAAGATCGTAGGAAAGTTTCATCGACAAATGAAAAAGAAGAAAAAGTAGATGGAACATATCGTGAAATCCAGATGGGACTGGTTCAATAGTGAAAACTTGCGGACTGTTACTAAAAGAACCCGTTGGAAGTTTGTAAAGTAGACATAGTAACATTGCTCGATGCGTACACAGATATTCTTTTTGTAAAATATAGAAACTCGACTTACTTGTTTTGCCTGTGGCATCCTCTTGAATTTCAATATCTTGGATAGTCCTGAGAGAATTGGCAAATATCCGTATCTGAAAAGAAGAAAAGGCAAACGTTGTACTTCACTTCCTCTTGAGACTATAAGCCACCAGCAGCTTATTGATACCTCTACGGCATGAATAATTAATTGAAAAATAAGAATATTATGAAATAGAAAAATATTGAAAAAATAAAATATAACATTTTCGGCTTTTATATTAAAATTATTGTCATCACATAAAACATTGATTGACTACTTCAAAGTCTATCTGATTAACTAATAAAGTACAGAATATTCTAATGAATAACCTTCTTTTGTATACACATATATTCATTTTGAAAAATATGAAGAATACTAAATATTTTTTTGCTCTAATTCAATCAGTAACTTTCAAATAATATATAAATCTCTGCCAGATACAGCATTAATATAATTTTCGACGTTAAACGTGCAGTCATAGGGTATCTATCTATACCTCACTAATTCTGTTATCAGGTTCCAACCAACATTCAGAGATTTAGCTAAGCCAATACCAAGGTACTGATCCTGTTAGCTTTAATGTCGTATCAAGCCTACGGGGTTCATCAAATGTGATATCCGAGCAAGTACACTGCTCCATATACAGAAGTCGGGATATTTACATTCATTTATGTATAGATTATATGACCTATTGTTGTCCACAAAAAAATATTTGAATAATCAAATTTAGAGAAAGAATCTTTTTTATGATAATAACAGTGCATGAGTATTTATAGATTATAATATATAGGAAACTTACACGTTCGCTTATAGTGGGAACTATTCACTGAGCATTACTTATTTATTCAGCAGAATTCACTCTTATACACTATTACTGGTTTGTATGTGAAAAAATTCAATTCAAATATTCATAAAAAATGTCTATAGCTAAATAATAGTTACATTGTCACTTAAGTAGAAAATCAAAATGATCAATTTTATAAATATTCACACTTTTAAACATCACAGAATTGGTCATATTGTTTATAAATACATACATCATATATGATGCTTTATTTATATATGATATCAATAAAAATTATGCAAAAAACAATTCTGATATCAAAATACACATTGGTATAATACCACGAATTACTAAGTTCTAATTTAATACAGAACATGGATGAACTTGTTCAAAAATGAGAATTATCAAACAACGCCATTTTTTACCGACTAACGATAAATCTGTTTGAAACGAACATTTTATTTTTGAAATGTAGATGGCCGTACATGTAGACGACTGTCTTGTGATTGGGCAAGTTTGAATGGCGTGGCTCGAGCAGTAGCGTCGGTTTTAACAGTTTCCAACGGTGTTGAGTGATCAGTACATGAAAGAGCCTACTACCTCACATGATTTATCGTTAGTGAAAAAATAGTGGATGGAGAATATAATTTTATTCTTTCAGTTAAATTAATAATTATGGCTTCATCATTATCTATAATCGCAACTCATGACGAACTTGTGCGATGCACAAATGTTCTCATCAATGGTTCTTCTGATGAAGGTTAGTTTATGTTTACACCTACTATTACGATATTTAATGCATTATTTTAATATTATAATAAGTATTCTTATTTATATTTTTTTTAATTTATTAAAGATTAAATAAATTTTAATAGATTTTTTGAGATTTGCAATAAATCAAGAGGAAATGAGGCAAAAATGGTTAGCTGCCGTTCAAGAATGTCAACGGTTACATTCTGCTTTAGAAAAATCACATCATGAATTGGCTGATCTTGACAGGAAATTAAGTCACGCACGTCGATTACTCGACGAAGAGAAAAGGAGACGTAGAGTCGCTGAAGAACAAAGAAATATACTTGAAAGACAGATTATTTCAGTTCGTGATTTTCTGTTTAATGGTGGTGCCGGAAATTTAAATGATGAAACAAGAGAAAAATTACAATTTTTAAATAATACAACATTAAACGGACGACATAGTAACCAAAATTCTAAAGATACTCATCATAATGATAAGCTCAATACAATAGCAGAGCTGGACTCTACTGGATCTCTTTTAAGTGACTTGAGTTGTTTTTCCAAATCAGAAGATGACTTAGATGCAAGCGCTCTGCTAAGTCATAGGAAAAGAGAATGGAAAGAACACAGACCCAGTGGCGAATATTCAACCAAAAAACGAAGAAGTACAATTCAGAAAGTTGTTGATTTGAATAATTCAGATAGAATTGTAGCTACAACAACTGTAATTATGCCCAAAGAAGGTACTATAACTGCATCATCAGTGATAGAAGCTGTACCTGGAGATGAAAATCAAGATCCAAAATCTCCCAATCGTAGTAGTCAAAAGAAAAGAAAAAGTGTTGAAAAAAAACGATCATTGAAAGAAATCCATCTAGAAAAGAACATTGATACTAAACCATCAGCACCTTTTCCTGATAATTTAACATCTGGATCAGATTCTGAAGGCATATTTAAACCCAGTCCTAATATTGGAGGATATACATTTAATACAAAATCTATGAGGGGTCATAGTTTTATCGGCAAGTCTGTTATTAAGCCTGAAACCTGCTCACCTTGTGGAAAAAAGATAAGATTTGGTAAACTAGCATTGAAATGTCGTGATTGTAAAGCTGTTTCTCATACAGAATGCAAAGACCTTGTCCCTTTACCCTGTATTCCAGCTGGAAATACACCTATTCTTCGAGGAGCATCAGTGAGTATTTATTTATATTTTCCCTAATGATCTACTGATAAAAGATTTTTGAAAATATTTAAAAAAATTTATTTTCAGGGTACTATTGCTGATTACACTCCCATGATTCCTCCGATGGTTCCATCCCTTGTAGTTCATTGTATAAATGAAGTAGAATTACGTGGAATGAATGAACAAGGATTGTATAGAGTTAATGGTGGAACATCAGACGTGAAGTGTTTAAAAGAAAAATTTTTGAGAGGAAAAGGTGTCCCTAATCTATCAGAAATTGAGATTGCAACTATTTGTTCTACTCTTAAAGATTTCTTAAGGTAATAACATGTTTCTATTGCTATGTTTATATAATTCAAGTAATGTAAATTCGAATGAATTCTAAAAATATTTTTTTCTTTAGGTCTTTAAGAGAGCCATTGATAACGGTAGGTCTTTGGGCGGATTTCGTTCGTGCAACTACCATCGTTGATAAACAAGATGCAGATGCTGCTCTTTATCAAGCAATTTCGGAACTTCCACAACCCAACCGAGATACATTGGCCTTTGTAATATTACATTTACAACGTGTATCAAGCACACCAGAGTGTAAAATGCCTATTAGTAATCTTGCCAAAGTATTTGGACCAACGTTAGTAGGTTATAGTTCTCAAGAACCATCTGCTACTTCAATGTTATCAGAGACTAAGACTCAAGCAGCAATTGTCGAAGCTCTTTTGAAAATTCCATCAGATTATTGGGCTAATTTTGTTAATCCTGAGGGTTTAAATGATTTTGGAACTCCTAGAACTACACAATTAAAAAATACACCATCGACGGAATCACTTTTAAAACGTACGACTTCTCGCGGTTTTTTTAACACACCACTAGGTTCTAGTCGGTCATTTTTACGAAAAAATAAAAAATACTTTGCAACACCACCCACAAATAACGGGATATAATTGGCACATAACTAATTGATTATATTTATCTTTTATAAAAAAAAAAAATTAATATTTGAATATATTAAAAGCATTAACAATAATTAAATACAATATTCTGTCGTATTCTACTATTCGACTATCTAGAGTTAAATATCATTTTAATTGATATGCATTGTTTTTCATTTAAAAAAGCAGCAAGGTTCTTATTTATCCAATTAATATAAAATTTCTTGATGTATTAATTTGAGTGATTAAAACATAAATAAAATAATTTTATAACAAATTTCTTAATATATAAAAACAATATTTATTATGAAATCAATTTAAAAATAATATTTACAATTTTTTATGTAATTGATTCTCTTGTTGATGCCTTTTCTTTTAATTCCCAACAAGATTCCCAAAATTGACTTAATCTATTATCACGATTTAAACAAAAATGTTTAAAATCTTGGATTATTTTTTTTTGAAACATTTCATCGCCAGCTGATGTTGAGAGTGATTTCCATTTTCGACTTATCATATGATTCCATGACCAAAGAAAGCCCATCTGATAAAAATCAATGGAAATAGTAAAAAATAGTTATATTTTATAGTTAATTAAACCAAAATAATTACTCTTCGATCCATGCTGAAATCATCCTTGTTTTTTCCACTAACATGTCTGGTAATGTAAGCTTCATGAGGACTCGGTTGATCAGGATGAACTGGATATCGCTTTTGTCCAGTATTTCTTCTTACAATATTGGTTCCTGTCCTTGGCCGGGGTTTTGGAGATGTAGTGGTAGGAAGTAAGATAAAAACATTTCCAGTAACATGAACATATTGATGATCATGTTCTGAACTTTCAGCTAAACACGGTATAAAGCCAAATCTTTGAAGAATAGCCTCTTGAAAGAGAAATAATCTTCGTGCGTATGTATCTTCATGAAATTCTATCAAAAAAGAATTCTTTCATAATGAAAAAAATTAATGTTTGAAAACTTATTCACTTGTAAACAGCTAACCTTCAAAAAGATATTGTTTATTAACCATGAGACATTCAGTATTTAATGGTATAAAAATTGGACCTCTTAAAGGATCACTTTTTAAGGTATATGGTAATGCCAATAAATCACTTGGAATTGGTACCATTTGTATTCCACTAAATTGAGCTTTTCGTTGCCATACCATTAACTAGAGATAAAAAAAAAAGGATTCATTTTTCAATTTCATTGAGTAATTGTTGTAATGATAAACTATGACATACCAAATCATTTATTATACACCCTGAAGAAGCAATCCACTGAACAACTAATTCGTAAGCGTGATCAGCTTTAAATTTTGATTGATATCGTAAATGTCCCCATTCAATTCTATCACTTTTATTATATAAATCTACATCAAGATGCGTGTGTTTAAATGGGGGTGATGAAACTATAAAAAATATTATTGTTTTAAAATTTATTATTAGATTAACTGGAAGAATATTTTATAAAAAACTTAAGAACCTCTCCAGTCTGTTTCATTTGTTCCTTTAATAACATCCAAGTCATCACGAAGAAACGCTGGAATGTTGGATTCATCGATTGTTTCGCAATTGCCTATTGGTATTGGAGACGTTGTATTTGATAAGGAAATATGAGATGATAATTGACACCAATCTTTTGGTGGTTCCATTTCTACTTCAACCCATTCATTTTCAAAACTTTGTAAATCTCCTAATGGTAAAGAATGTTCTGTAAAAATCAACAATATGTTAAAATACAATTATATTTCTCTATTGAAAGTAAAATACCTTTTTGTCCATCTCTATCTTGGATAATATAATATAAATAGAAGCCAAAAACGAAAGGTTTCGTAAAATCTCCAGAGGCGTGACAAATTAGCTTGTCGGAAATCATGCTCTAGAATCATAATTATGAATAAATTTACAAAATTATATTATATGGTTAAACATATTTTAAATATTACCTGCATTATTGCAATAGCCTTTTTTACAGCCACTCCACCTTCTATGTGATTATTTAACCATTGTACAGCATCAGCACTTACAAAAGTTTGACTAGGTAGTACTGGATGTGGTGTCAAAAATCCAATTCCATGTTGAGGATGTTTTAATACTTCTAAAATTTCGATATTTGATGCATTACTTTTAAGTTTCATTATTTCGGCATTCGAACTGAAAAAGATTTTAATATTCATCATTAAAAAACAAATAACCTAAAATTAAAAAATAATGATAATTACTTTTCTTCATTGTTTTCCGAATGGTCTTGCTGTGGCTGCTCTAAAGACAAAGGTAAAACAGCTTCACTTGCTGGTGATACTCGGCCTCTATCCATAACTTTGGATCCAGATCTAGTAATAAGAAAAATTGATATTAAATATCTTTTTTCTATCGATGAAATAATACTAATATATAAAATTTGTAATTATATACGTTATTTTAATAAAAAAGCAATTAAGTGCAAATTGAAGAGTGCTATGCTGTTTGATACAGTATTTGATAAGAAAGACAAACCTGCTTGGTAAGAAGCGAGGAGAGTCGAGACATGTGCGGGCAACTATAGGTGAAATCACATGCTTTTCCTGTACAGGAAAATTCATTCATTCGTTCATTTACTAATTAAAAAGGAACATTATTTAATTAAAGTAAATGACAAAAATTTATATACATTAAAAGATATTTAAAAAGTCATTAGTAAATGCTGATAATTTAATACATTAATTAATTAAAGCAAACATAAAACATATGCAAACAATATTTATAACTGTGCACCCAATTTCATAGATCCAAGCCATTTTAGAAATTTTCTCTAAAGTTTAGAATACACAAATTAATACAAAAATAATGTTCAAAATAATACTAACTTCCAGGAATTAAAAAATGAGTTTCAAACAAAAGCAAGATTACTAAGGTAATTGTTGTTAAGAATAACTAATGTAATATAAAAATAAATTAATATAGACAATTATTGATTAATAAAAATTGTAGATTGTGAACTAGCTTACAGTGAGAGAAAAAAATAACTGAAAAGATAAAAAAAAAAAAGAGAAAAATGGTATAAAAATGCTGGGGATACAAAAAGCTTCAGTGTAAATGCTCCGACAAAAACTGGAGGCCAACTGAAAAAAAATCAAACCTTGGTCTTGGTTTTTCGGGTAATCTATTGCTTCCCAAGCGTTCTCTAAACGGTGAACTTCCAACAAGATTTGTCTGTAAATTTTATGAGAAGAAAATTAAATAATCAGAAGTACAATTAACAATCAACACAAATAATACTGACAGCAAACTGTTATCGAATGTAGTTAAACAAATAATTAAAATAACGACAATTATTCAATGAAAATAAAGTAAAACACTCATGGAAAAATATATATTAATTTGATGCAACATTTATGGCGAAGTTAAGAACTATATTAGTACAACACCTAGCTAGCATTAAAATAAAACAATAATATATAAAACAACAATTATTGATATTTTTATTATCGATATTATTATTATTATTGTTAATGAAAGTTCAAATTATTACGTGGAAAATTTGTATAAATTATGTAACGTTTAAACTCAATAATCAAAATGCAAACTATTAATTTCAATATTAACTATTCATATAATCAATAATAATAATCATAATAAAATACTAAAAATCAGTTATTTTATTTTTATTCGTCTGTTCATGTAAATATTTTATTCCAAGATAATTTTAAAGATGTTCTGAAAAATTTTTGTAAATTAATATTTAGAAATTAGAATATACTAATTAGAAAAATAGTGAAGGTGGACCGATTATACTGGGAAGTGAAGTACCTGGTTAGTGAGGAATATCAGACTTGTGCTGTGTCTACGTCTGGTCAGGTGCGATGCAGGATCTCTCGAGGGTACGGCATTTAAAGCTGTTGGGCTCTGAAACATATCATGCTCTCTACCGTTTCCCAACTAACTATGTAGTTCTTGTATCTACTTTTGCTAATTATAAATTCATCAAGAATTTTTGTAAAAATAATTAAAATAATCAGGAAAAAATTTAAATACAAAACTATAGTTAAATAAATTAAATTAGTAAAAAAAATTATAATAGTAAGTACTGTTTAAAATGAACGAGTATTACTCTAGGACTTTTGAAAAAATTCCGATTAAATTCCTGTATCAAAGAAGTGATTAAAAATATTTTTTTAAAAAGTAAAAAATTTCATAACTAATGGGTGTGCGATCAAAATTATTATATAAATTGAGCAAAAGTTTGTAGCACTTTTTACAGCCCAAATTATTTAATCAATCATGCACGTAATGGTATGTTACATGGTGCTAGTGATATCTGCAAAAATCAAAAAATTCAAAAAAAATAAAACCAATCAGTTATCTAAATAATTTAACGCTCAAGACAAAATTCGATAAACAGTTGCAAATATAGTTATTTAGTATTTTTTGATATAATATTTTACCCAATTTTTATTTGGATTAGGTCGACGAATTTTATTCAAATAATTTTCGATGAATCGCAAAAAACCATCCATGTATTGAGATTGTTCTGTTGAAGTTGGAGGTACATAAACATCACATCTTGGAGATCCTTCAATTATTTTACGAGTTCCAGAATTATTAGCTGGCAATAAGAACATCCGAAATCTCCAGTATTTTAATGCCTGGATAAATAGATATTTTAACGGTTATTGATTAACTATTTACTAATTAATAGTATGCTCAATTTATTAATACATAAATATTTAATATTACCTCAACTAAGGAAAAATCAGTGTCACCTCTGGTACAAATATAATGATCTAAATAATTCCAGTTGTAATTTTCAAGTTTTTCTGTTGTAAATGATACCCAAGATACTTCATAAGTATCATGATGAGGAGCATGAAACCGATAGCGATAATGAATATTGAAAGGAGGATATGGGTGTCTAGAACGATCAAATATTATAAACAATAAAAAAAATTACAATAGATGAAATTTTACGGCTTTACCTTGGACGATACCTAGTGACTGTTATACAATTTCCACATAAAGATATTTTATGAAATATTCTACCGATACTTAATAAATATTCTTCTTTTGGTTCTGAATCAGTTTGCCTTCCACGCATAACAGAACTCACATGTAATTTGATATTGTTATTTGATTTAGCAAATTTATTTTTGTCATTTGATGGCAAAATTATTAATTGAAAACCCTAAAAATAATGACGAAGTTTTCAAAATCATCATAAAAATATTTAAAAAATAGATATACCATCCAATACTCACTTGGGCTAGCCTTTGGGATACAAGTTCTTTAAAAACTTCAGCTGTTGTTAATGGTTTTTTATAAATTGCTCGTTGTTGTGCAAAATCTGCATTTACATCATCTGGGAGAAGATTATAATCAGAAACAACATAGTCATTTTGAAGAGCTCGTTTATCAGGAAAATAATCAGTTGTGATAGGTAAACAAGCTGGTATAGTTAATGATTTCCAATCAACTCCTGTAGACATTTAATAAAAAAATTAATATCTAAGTTAATTGGTAGTAACAAAACAATATGATAACTACTGTTCCAAAATTTATGCGGTAATGCAAATAGAATCTACTCCCAAGTGCGATTTCTACTTCTAGAAATTTAAACGTGGATGTGAAAAATTAGCATTTTCTAACTTTACTTCAATATGATAATCTGTATATTATTTAATTAAGTACTATTAATATATTTATAAGCATTTATTACGTGGCGTGTTTGTAAAGAAATAAAAATGATACAGAGTGGAAAATACAAATACAAATAAATTTAATGGAAGACATGCAGCAAATGCAGCTATAAAAGCATATGTGTAATAACATTAAAGTATTTTGAGTGTAGAAAGAAAATGGTGATAAGAGTGTGCGTGAATTTTAATTGTTTTTCATAGAAAGAGAAAGAATACCATAACCCTTTTTTTAAGTTGTATATTTTCTCTAACCTATGATCGCTGTAACAATTGACATCAAAGTTGCACACATCACAGACGTTATTATGCCCAGCGTTGTATCCCGATAATACGAATGATAGCATGAAAATAAATCCAATACAATTATTATATTTGTAGATATAAAATATTTTTTATTAATATCAAAACCATAGTAAAAGAAAATGAAAATACTAATTCCCTGTGATTAGAAAGAGAAGTCAGTTTTGGATTTAAAAGATTACTAAATAAAATTTTTATTTAGAAATTTCAGAAAAAAAAACATTAAAAGATAGTTATAAAAAATAATTTTAATTTTTTAAAAAATTTGCAAAAAGTATTATAAATAGTTGAAAGTAAATAATTTTTAAAAGAAAAAAAACATTGATTAGAGCATGATGATCGTCTTGTTGTTTGAGCAAATATATGCTAACTACTCTAGTTGAAAAAAAAAATTTCTAATAATTAAATCGGTAACAATGGAGAGTTACATTATTTAATATCACTGTAATATTTTTAGATATTAAGGAAATTTGTTCAATAAAAAAAATTTTGTTAGCTAATGTTGCTACATAGTTAAAAATAATTCAGCACCGTTTTCCTAACGTATAAATTACATGGACAAGCTGAAATGATTTTTAAAAAATATATATCTGATCAATTGTAGAAAGCCACTAGCGAATCTTGAGTCAATGTACTTTACTTTTAAAAATAAAAAAATCTTATCTGTTTGGTATTTTTCAAAACTCATAGAGTAATGAATTGTAAAAAGAGAACTTTCTGTTATATCATGATTGATCAATGATCATGCACATGAAATGACTGAGTACTTGATTATGAAACATCGAATGATTTGGCTTTCTTTCATATGATAGCCAAAACTGGTTATTATTCTGATTCATGAATTTTACAAATGAAAAATTGCGATTTCGTTTGGCTATTATGTTTATAAGCGTTTTGCCAACCTGTCGTAAGAGCTGGAGTCCACTCTTGTTCGCCAGTGGCACCCCACAGTAGTGTCAAACTTTTATTAACACGTGGTAATACGTAATGGCCATTTTTGTCTCCAGGTTGATTCAATCGTTGGGATTTTGCCTTTGTATCTGTTGATAAACTTATAGCTGCTATGTTCTACCTTAATATCTAGTGAATAATCAACTAATATTTTTAATCAAAAACTTACGATCCTGGAATCCTATTTGTGATGTTGATCTGGATATTGAATCTGATGTAGATGTTAAACCACACTCAATAGGAGAACTTGTTGTTGAGCTGGTGTTCATGGTTGGGTCTGATTTTGATTGAGCTGGAACTGCTTGATAGTGATGTTGTTGAATCAGCACTCCTGTTGGTCCTAAATAATCATTTTTTTAATATAATCGAAAATTTTTTATGTAGACTTTTCTTACCTTTGGGAAAAATGTGAGTCCATCGGCGTCTGTTACTGGTTAACTTAATCGTTACATGTGATGGATCAAAAGGATTTATAAGTGCTCGACCAGGTCGAGGCAATATTGGTTGAATCGAAGTAGTAGGGCTTCCTGCACTTCCAACCACTGGGCGGAATGGTGGAGATATTTCATTGTCAGTAGATTCACTTTTTACTGGTGTTTTTGCTTGGACTATAGTGGTGATATATTTTTATTAAAGACTTATTATTGCCTTTAAATATATGGCAGGTAATAAAAAAATACCATTAGATTCTTCAGTTGAGTCATTTCTTGTTACATCATCTGCTCGACAAGGTATTGTAATTGCAGCACTACGAATTCCACTTACTGGTGGTGAATGAGAATCTGATTGAAAATGATGAATATCTGGATCTGATAATTTACGTTTTAGAAGTTTTAAGGCTTGAGCATTATTATGAGTCTCCATACAGGCAACACTCGTTTTTTTTGTTCGTACAGAACCTCTGAAAATTGAATTTATAAATCTCATAAAATCAATTTACAAATGAAAAAATAATTTTAAATGGTACTGAATAAAGATATTACTTGGTTGAGTGAATAGTAGGTAATTGAAAAACTTGTGCATCATAAGCATCGTAATCAAAAAGAGTATTATGCAATTCTCTTGGATCTTCTTGAATAAGTTTATTTGTTTTGCACAGTAACTTTTCATTATCTGTAGATGATTTTGTTACTTTTTGAGGTAGTTTAATCCGTGGAATGAACGTTGAGTAAGGAATTTTTTTATTTGTTGAATAGAAGCTCAAATTAATCCAGTGAGGCATACTATAGTCATCAGGAACTTTAATAGATGTGTCTTTATTATGAAACTATAATTTGACATTATTCGTAATAAGTAGCATTTAATACCTGATAATGAAATCAATAAAACTATAAAATACCTTTAATAAGGGAACTGCATGCAGTGGTTGCTCTCCAACACAAACTAAATCGCTTCCAACACCATTGTCAATTATTCTCTGTTTTGTCACATTCGTCAATTCTCTATCAACTTCAAACACTCCTACTCCTGGTGTTATAACGACTGATAACTGTCCTGTTCTATCAAAGCTTCGGTCTAAGTAATGTTTTTCAAACACTGTGAAAATAATATTTGAATAATTATAAAAAATTTTTCTGTAAATAATTTTTCATATTTGCAAATTTATTATTATACCATTAAGAGACATGTTAAGAACTTCTAAGAAGTTTCCTTGAGCTGCTGTAGAGTTTGTAGCTTCTGGAATAGTAATCCCAGGCTTTTGATGATAATTTAAGACAATATTACGATAATCAGTAAAAAGTTTACGTAGTTGTACTAATACATTACTCCAATCTTCAAAACGCTCATTTTGGACGGCAACTCGATAGAAATCTTCATAAAACCTACCCCTATAATCTTGTTGGAGACATTCTCTCATATGATTGGGAAATTCTTCGAGAGTATTAGCATTATAAAAAGTTCTTGAAAATAATACTATTGTTACTTCATGATTGCTACCATTTTTTTTCCATTTTTGAAAAAGGTCGGCTAAGAAACTATTAACTGCCTTTTCAAAATATAAATCTCCATGAATATCAAAATCCCACATTTCACAGCTCATTTGGATAAAAAGATAGACCATACTTGTTGATGACCGAAAAACAACTTTTGTATCATCTGTTATAACTCCACAAGCAACACGATCACCTTGTGACCACATTTCGTGAACCTGACATCTAATTGACTCGGCACAAAAAACGATTTTTTTATTCATATAAACACAAGTATTTACAAGACTATTTTTCAACCTCCACATTTCACTTCTTCCCATATATTGATCCTTAAAAGTTAATTCGATAGAGTCGAGTGCTACATCATCAGGATTAACAATATTCATGTAGACATCAGCGTAGGTTCGAAGTTGAAACATTTGTGCTACATTATTTTCAACGCTAATTGTTTCACGACCCTGTAAATCTTCCTTAAATGAAGTGACTTGAAGGAGTAAACGGCTAAACTCATCTTCAGGATGATAAATTTCAACAACATCACCTGTCTTTATTCCAGGATAATCTTTTGGATTAATTATTAAATCATCACCACTATAATTTTTTTGGTGAACTATTAGCTTAAATAATTTCATGTTTTCTATTTAGTTAATGATTAATATTTACATGTGTTATTAAATAATTATGCTTTATTTTAGGAAAGAAAAAACTGCTCTTTTTCGATTTTGTACATGTTTCGAAGGTTAAACCCTGACCAGAGAAGACAGTTAACTTATGTGTAGCGCTGTAATTCTCATTTCAATTGTCTTTTAGTAGCCAATAACCAAAAAAATGATTTCCAATTTCGACCAGTAGAGTATTTAAAGTATGTTCAGGACAACCTAACTTGTGAACAAGGTTAGAATCAACATTGTTAAAAAAGTCTAAGATTAGTGATTTGAAGAAATCAAAAATTAAAAAATGCCGTATAAAATATTTAATTAACGACAGTAAAGTGTTGTTTCTTATATTACACATATCAGAAAATAATAAAGTAAGGGAAGAAATGTGTTTTTCCAAAAATCCTTATTTACTTTTCAACATTATAAATAGAAGATTAACTATTAATATTCGACGTTTACGGTAACTTTATCAGAATAATGAGAAATGCGTTCCAAGGGTTTGCTGCTATTTCTTATTTGTTTAGTAGGAAGCACTGTTTTATTTATTGCAGTTAGTTTTCAACGTCCTTCCATCCAAAATTTGGTCACCGAAACTCATAAACAGTTGAAAAACTTTCAGGTAATTATTTTATCAATTAAGTTGATACTTAATCAACATGATAATAATTACTATTTTTTTTCACAGGAAAACTTGAAAGACGTTGAAGAAAAACGATTTGTAACCGATTCAAAATTTTTGGCATTGCTCGGGCTTGACAGACAACAATTCACAACAATAAGCTTACCGAATTCACAAAATGTAACTATTGTCACATTAATTAGACCAGGAATGGAATTGAATATATATGGATTTATCAAAAATGTCAGTCATTTTTTGCCAACTAATAATATTGTTGTATATGCAGTGTCTTTGAATGAAGACGCGTTATTTAATTTACGAGCTAGTTGTAATTCTACTAAATGTAATGTGATTCAATTTGATTTAAATGATTTTCCTAATCATGCCGAAGATGATAGATTACACGTCTATCGGCCTCTAGTCATTCAGGTAAGAAGGATTTAAATTCAAATATTTTTGATTAAAATGTTCATACCAATATCATTTATTTGAAAAGTTGACATAACATGTTTTCCATTGCAGGCAGCATTAAATACTTTAGGTAATATATTATATATGGACTCTAACGTACGATTAAATAATACTGATATTTCAAAATATCTTTTACCAAAATATGGAGTATTAACGTGGCAAACTAAGCATGCAATTAGTACTTTAACTCATCCTAAAATGTATGAATACTTTCGAGCTTCAGCTGAAAGTTTTTTCTTTCTTCCATTAATTCGAGCATCGCACATTATAATAAAAAATACAAGAGAAATAAAAGAAAATATTATGTTACCTTGGGTTCAATGTGCATTGACAAGAGATTGTATTTGTCCAATAGGTTTGTAATTTAAATTATAAATAAAAAAAAAAAAAAAACTATTAAAAAATTATTATTAATCTATAATTATTTCAGGTGCTCAATCTGTAGGATGTCGGTTCAATAAGAAACCTCAATATCGCTACTCTGGCTGTCATTCTTATGATACATCTGCATTGAATATTGTCCTAGGACTTTACTTCAATTTTGATGAATCAAAGTACATTATTCAGGAACGTGAATCGTATTTCACAAAGATTCAATCCGAAGAAATTACCGAAGAGTATCTATCAACTACAAGACAGAATAATGCCACTGAATCAAATACTAAAAACATGATATTAGTAGAACGATAAATTCCATAAGTTTAAGATTTATTTAATAATGTTTTGAAACCAAGGATAATTACTATTAGTAAAATTTAACTATAAATAAAATCTTTGATAGTAATAATTCAACTTCAGTGTCTGATTCTGTTTTTTGATACCTATTGAGTGATGGGTCTTTGAAAAAAAAGTTTTTTTTCTTTATTTAAGTAGAATGAATATTTTTTTTAATTGGTCAAAACATCATTAAATTTTAAGTTACTTGAACTTAATTATATTAATTAGTATATTTTTTTAAAACAATTGTCGCTTTAAATGTATGTGTATAATTGGTACTAATATTTAAATATTTTTTAAATTTATTTTCAATTTATTTACGATTGTACTATGAAATTAGTAACATCCGTTGTATGTATAATTATATCAAAATATTGAAATTGGTATTATACACATGGAAATTTTTTTATACATGAGTACGTTACATATTTTATAATTGATAATTTAATTTATTGTGAGTAATGAAACATTTGAAAAGCTTTCTTATTGTTTAATTAGATAAATTCCTAATTAAGGTTAAATAGTAATGGCCAGTACTGAAAAGATTGACAGCTTGGATTTAAATCATTGGAAATTATGCAATAAAGATAATAGTTTTGTATTGACAAAAACTTCGAGTGCATTATTAGATACTGCTAGAATACATTCATCAAAAAATGACATATTTGATAGCCAAATTAGGTAATTTAAAATATTTTATTTTATTTTGATATGTTTAAGTAGTCAAGAAAGTGCTAAAAAATCACATTTCAGTTCAAGATCGTCAAAAAGCTCACAAATTCGATGTATTAATCCAGCAATATACGTAGAACCATTAAATGTACTGAAATCTGGAATATATGAAGATGATTTTTCTCAAAAAAAGTCTAATTCTGTTGACTTAAATACTGAAATATCAAATACTCATGCTGGTAGTAACCTATGTTCTTCATTTAATACTTATCGTTGCGGATCTTTAATACCTTCAGAGTCTTTTAAGACATCATCATCGAATAAATCGAAATCACTTCATACAATAGAACGTCGCTGTAAAATTGATGATCAATCTGTAAATTCTGTTGATTGTGACCAACCTGAAGTTCAAAGGTTTTGAATCAGTTATATAAATTTCTTTTTTCCCGAAATTCTCTCTAATTTATTCTTGTATTTTTATGTAAGGTATTCCTTGAATGGGAATAAAATAATTAAAATTTCAACATCTTTATCTAACTGCACATTATCACAACATGAAAGTGGTAATTCTGTATCTAAGAAACAAGCCTATAATGAGTGGATAAAAAAGAAGAAGTTGGATATTCTTCGAAAAAAGAAGGAAGCTAATGAATTAGAGTTACAAAAAAAAATAGATGAGGAAAGATTGAAACAAGAAAAAGAAGAAAAAGAAAAATTAGACAATCATAATTTTTTAGTTTGGATTGAAAGAAAAAGAAAAGAAAATATGCATAAACGGATGATTGCTAAGAAAGAATTTGAATTAAAACGTCAAATTGAAGAATTGGAAGCAAAAACTGCTATTGCTAAAGAAATATATCTTAAACAATGGTATATAAAAAAAGAAAGAGAAAGAAAAGGTATTATCTAATTTTTTACATTGATAGAGTTTGTTTTTATTCGTATGTACGTATTATTATTTAATTCGGAAAATAATGTAATAGCCCAAAAGAGAAATGAAGAATTAAAAATGCAACAATTTGCGGAAGAACGTCAGAAAAAACTTGAAGAAAGTTCAAAAGCTTTCAAAACTTGGCGAGAAAAAACAAAAAATAGACCTAGACCTGCAACTCAAGGACTTTTGCGTTAGTTTATTATTTATTATATTGTTTGTTATCAAATCATTGAACCCAAGTAAAATTAATATTTATCAACATTTATAGCTCATCAACAGGCAAAACCTAGATATATTAATCCAATTCCTTGGGTAGTTGATCAAGGTTCTTCCGAAATCAATGAGAGTCAAATAATAAATAACGAAACTACGCCGAACCCAGTGAAAAATAATATTACAAAATCAATTGTACAAAAATAACATATTTGCAGATATCAGAAAGAAATTAATGGTTTTTCTTAAACATATTTTTATTCAGTTTATTAACCAATATATTGATAAATTAAAATATTTTTTTAACTATTCAATATATCAATATGAATATTTTTACTCCAATATCTATTAAATTTCGTAAAAAATATTTTTTCATTTAGCCATTGTTTGCTCTTCATCCTGAAGTCTTTCTATATCCGTTTTATTCATAAAATAATAAGAAGGCTGTCGCGATTTCTGGATAAAAATTTTTTTGATTAAATAAATAGTGTTTTAAATTCATTTTCTTATAACTAAACATTTATATAAATGATTTGCTGTTTTCCTACTTACTAAGTCTTTATGTACTCTTTTTGCTCCGGCATTTATTAAAATATTGCTCAATGTTTCTACAGATGGTACGCCCATTGCATAATGGAGTGCTGTTCTTTCAAGCTAATAAAATGAATATAATTGTTAGTATTTTTAACAGTAATAATTAAAATGTAACTTTTAATTCTTAAACACATATTATTTTCACACTGCTAAATGAGCTAAATTTGATGTAAATATGAAAATATGTATGTAACACATACGTTATCGCCAATTCGAAGCGTTCCCCGATAATTTGTTGAAATATATTCAACGATCTCCACATGTTCACACAATATTGCAATATGAAGTGAACATCTTCCAAGAGTATTTTTACCAATAGCAAAAAGAGTTCCACCTCCACCATTGGATTCGAAAATTTTTTTTGCCGCCTCTAGATCTCCTCTTCGAATGGCACGATGAAGTTTTTCTTGTTGTGTCTGGATAGTTGATTTTTTTAAAATTAGAATCAGAATAATTTTTCTGAATGAATTACTTTTTTACATACCACATATTTTGGGATTGATTGTAAAAATTGGACAGTAGATTCACGATTTCGTTCAGCTGCAACATCAATGATATTTACACCACCATCTTCAGTATCCAAAATATGATCATAGCCTTCCAACAAGAGTTCAACTAATTTTTCAGTTTCCCCTAAAACAGAATCATTAATAATAAAGATGCATAAACTCCGATGCATTTACTTCGAAATTTATTTTTTAATAACAATTTAATACCTCTTGCTGCTAAATAAACCACATAACGATCAATATCATCAACATTTTCTTGAAAGTTAGCATCTTCAGCTACATCTCGAGCTGTTCGATATAACTCATCTCGATAGCCAATATTTACTTGACGTTCTTGTAAGATATTAAATAATCCATCTTTGGGATGTGTTCGAATAGCTGAGAAGTGAATTATTGTTTGACCATGTTCATCCTAACATAAATATGAATTATATTATTTTTTATCAATCATTGCCATCATCATGCTTTGAGTTTTACACGCAATAGTTAGACGTTTACTCATTATATCGATTAAAACTTCATTCAAATGACTCATACTTAATCATTGAAATGACATGAATCAGAACTTTCATCAACATTTATCAATCGATAAATTGACCTGTATGACTGAATAAAAAAAATTTTACCCTATTTGTGGTATTAAATGCTGACTCAGGAGCATTAGACTCAGGACTTCGTGGATATCCGGCGTCGTCTTCTTCATCACTTTGATGTTCATCATTATTTGATTCATAATTTTCTTGTCTAGATTCAGGTATGATCAAAACATCACTTTTCTGTAGTATTGCAAAACAGAAATATTTTGTTATTAATCATTTTTTTGTTTATTATTTAATTTAATTTAAGTTTGCAAAAAAGTAAATACTACCTCTGAGGGGAATTCTTCTTGTTCAGTTGCAAAATTATTCAAATAAGTTGCTAAATAAGTCACAGGATTTTTTGGCCTTTTATGTGCTACTTCAGTTAATCCTTTTATTAAAGGAGTACCTAAAGCTGTTAAATAAAGTCAATCAGATCTGATACATATAAATAAGATGAATAGATATAATTTTAATAAGTTTATAAAATGATTAACTTACACGATGCTAAATATCGTCCTTCTTCTTCACGAAATATTGGCAAACTTGTGCTATGGATGTCTGAAAAATAAATGATAACTTGTATAGATCTATATGATAACAGATATAGATTTACAAAGTATACAAAAAAGAAAATTATTGTATGCAATTCTACTGATATGTGAAATTTACATTTTAATTAAATTTAAAGTTAAGCATTCGTTATCTATGATTATGATTAAATGAAAAAAATTTAACCGTAGATGCATTATCAATACATGCTTAAAGATAAAAGATTAAGATTGTTATAAAGAAATTATTTTTATTATCAATATGATGCGTGTATTAAAGTCAACTAAGCTTCTGACCTATTTTCTATTGAATTATCATACATAGCAAAGTGAATTAAAAAATAACAGGTAAATGTTGGAAAGATATGTGCACTGTTTATCATCATGTGTATTTATACAGTGCAAAACATTTAGAAGCATCGTTTGATTGTTATTGTAGATAATACGATTATAGTGAACGAATAATTTTATTCATTTATTTACTAACCCAAAGTTTCCAGTAGGTTTTCCAGTAGCTTATGATTCGCGAAGATGTTTTAATTATTTTTGGCTAATAAATTGCTATGTCGATTTTCAATTTAAAAATTGAAGTTAATTGAAATTGATTCAAAAAATGTTCACACATCTTTCCAACGATATTAATATACTTAAGCTAACAGACTTACTCATTTATAAATACATTAAGCAGTATTTACATAAACATATTATAATAACGAATACATTCTTAGCTGGAATACGTGGGAATTGAGCATTAGCTTTTGATAAAATATCACAGGATATTGTTATTGTATTACTGAATTATATATTACTCCATTTAATAGAATTTTGTTATCAAAAATGTTTTTTATCAAATAAGATCTATGAATTAATTATTACGTTATATATAATTTAAAAATACAAATTTGTTTTCATTTTTCTTCATGTCGATAAATAGTTAAAAATATATTTATTCAATTTTTGAATTACCGTTTAAATTTACGACTTGATGATTTTTTTTTACGAAATATGTTAGCAAAAATTGAAGTAATATTCATAGAGTTTGTTATTACTATTTCTTTCTCTAATTTCAAAATATTAACTATTGCTCGAATAAAGTCTTGTAATGTTTGTAATTCAGTAATACTAAGACACTGTTGGTTACTAATTTTCCAGGTATCAGTTCTCATTGTTTCAACTGGTTTTAATCCTCTAACAATACATAGATGTTTTAAATTTTCTGGTTTTTTAGATAATCCAGATAATTTAGCCACTACTGTAATGTGTAAAGTATTTCCGACAGAAGAAGGCCGAGCGCTTAAAAATCCAAATTTAGGGTGTCTTTTAAAAGCTAACTTTTGATCTAGAATAGTTAAAATTTTTGCTATTCTCACATAAGTTTTGCCTATCTGTCCGGGTTTAGATTCTTCAGTACAAGCAATAATTCTTATATGATCATGGACATTAACCCACACTGCAACATCTCCCGCAGCAGCAACATACACTCCACGTCCGTAAGGCCAATGTTTACCATGAAGACGTTTTTCATTACTCATTTCTGTTTCATTTATGGGAGTTAAAAGTCCCGCAGCTTCTAATCTAACTCTTATATTACTTGGTCGCTCTAAAACTTCATTCAAAGTATAGTAGTTTCCTGCTTCGTCTTCACTAGATCCCTCTGCCATAATTACTGACATTTCATTACTCATTAATATTCCAGTAATTCGCTTTTCTGTTTCTTCCAGTTGATTGATTGTTAATGTTAATGGAAGAGAAAAATTTTCCAAATTACGACACGCATCAATAGTAGCTGCTGATATATATTTTCCAGATGGATCAATATCGTAGGATGCAATTGCATGAATGTTTTCCTGGAAATTTTCATTTTCATCTTTGGTACCGATATCACTGAAGAAACAGGGATAATATTGATCCGGTAATTCTCCCGTTGTTGTAACACAGTGCAGATTTCTAATATAAGGATCTAAAAATTCAGCAAAAACTACATAGCATTCATAATCAGGAGCAACTACAATTTCTTCGAAATGATCATCCATATCGATGAAAGATCTATTACTATAGGCACTGTCAAGAGTTCTACTATTTTGGGAATTTGAATGATATTTTTGCAATGATGGCCAAATCACGTCAAAGAGATTGTGGTCCATGCGAGTCACACGGTGCTTAATGAGGTCAAAGATAGGTCGTTTGAGACAACGACTCAGCATTGTACCAGCAGTTGCTGATGGAGTATTTGGCACTGAATTCCTCCGAGTACTTGCTAGTAGTCGAAAGCATCTCTCGAGAACTGCCAATGTGTCTGCTTCGTTTAGATCTCGACGTGATGAATAAACGTCACCGCCAGGAACTATATTTGTTATTAAAAGTATAATTTATATCATTACAAAATTATTGTCAGACCGAAATTACGACTAAGAGAATGATTTCCTAAATTCTAAATTTATTTATAAGAAAACAAAAAATGATGAACGACATTTTTAAAATCAAACTTAAAGCGTGATTGTGTTCTGTGCGACATGTCCTGTGATGTTGTAAAACCAATTTCAAGTTAGTATTAAAATTTTTTTGTTATTTTCGTTTATCACTTTTTTTGTATTAAAAAAAATTAATTGTACCTTTATCTGCAAGCATTTCATCAGCAAGTTCTTCTCGTTCACCGAAGTCACGAAGAAGGCGTTTGTGCGACAGATCATCTTGATGTTCTTTATAATAATCAGCTTTTTGTTCAAACTATTAAATCAATTTATTAAAATTTTATTTTTTCTTTTGTTATTGTAGAAAATAATAAAAAAAAAAAAAAAACTTACATTGTCTTTTATTAATGGATTTGCACCTAGATGTAAAAGAAGATTATAATAATGTCCATTATCAGCAAGTGTAGCAGCATAGTGTAATGGAGTTCTCCCATCGATATCAACAGCATGAACTGTCTCGGGAAATCGTCCAGCTAGATATCTATAGAATTCATTTAATTAAAGTGACTCATTTAAAATATAAAATGAATTCTAAGTCCACCCGAACCTTATGATTGCTGTGTGGCCAAAAATAACAGCAACATGAAGAGGAGTTGCACCATGCGGAGAAACACTATCCCGTGCAATGGCAAATTTACGACGATCGAGGGCATTTTGAAGACCTCTAAGATTTCCTTCTCTTGCGGCAATATGAACCGCATTTATTTTTCCCTTATAATTTAAATGACATTTGATTTGATCATTAATTTTTTAAAAATATCATATAATAAATAACATACCACGTAAGATGAAACATTATCGATAAATGCTTGAAGTTCAGGATTACCCGATTGACGGCCAATAAGACGTCTGCCTTCTCCATTTAATACTAATGCTGCTAGCTGTTCCATGTTGCCGTTTACCAGTAAGTTTTCGACTTCCGGATCGTCAAGCATGATGCCTTCGGTTAAATCTGCTTCTGGCAATTCTTCATGTTCACCAATAATAACCTGAACACAAGGAGAAAATACAATACGCGCATGTACATTGGCGAAATCGATATGAGTGTATTTAATCTTATGCGACGATCTTTTATACGTGTATATCGACCGGATAGTGCACGTTCATGTAGACAAATGTAGTTATAGAGAATGTATGATATGTATGGAATGCTTTGAGTCAATGTTGATAAAAGGTATATTCTGCGGGTAGTCCACTGAATAGATTATTATTATTATTTATTTGAATATTTTGTTTATTTGAAAATATTTTTGAATTTATTAAGAATAAATATATACGGATAAACGTGATTATCGGGTGCAGATATTATCACACCTGGTCCTCGTTGCTTCTTGTTTCATCAACGCCAGAATCTCCAGTGCTGAGCCCTTTGTTTTCTTCATCATCCTCTTCTAGATTTTTGTTTTCATTGTCTTCGGGTTCTGAATTTTTTTCTTTCGTTTCCAACTCTTCTTCCTCATTTTTCTCATGATTTTCAACTACTTCCTCATCGTCTTCTTCGTCATCAGAATGATCTTCCACAGCTTCTTCATGATTTTCATGAATACCCGTGTCACCTACAACTACTTCATCTTCTTCATCATTTGTTTGTTCTTCTTCTGCTACAACGTTATCTTTTCTCTCCTCTGCGTCAATTTCTGGATTTTCGTTATTACGTTCAACGTTATCATTCTTCAATTCCTGTATAAATATCATCTACAATTTTTTACTTTGCCCTCTTTGTTTACTCAAAAATTCCAAACCACAAAATCACCCAACAAATTTACAACAATAAAATACAATTAATTTCCACTACAATAAAAATTTTTACAATGTAACCATAATTATTTTTATTATCGTTTCGTTTCAATAAAAATTTAATTGAAATTTTATTTTCATGCATGCATATATCATACCCCAAAAACCATATCTGAGCTTTCCTCAGTCTTCATAGGACTTTCGGCACTACCGAAAGCACTGTCGTCTTCAGTTATAGTAACATCAGTAGTATCATTTCCTTCAGTATTGGAAACATCAGCAATATCTTCAGAACTATCAGAAACTGGAGGACGACGTTTTTTTGGTGCCTTCGTTAAAGAATCAGCTGTTTCCAGAATTTTCCAATCCCAATTTTTTGGATAATTCGTACCAGATACTCTAGGTGCATCAGGTATTCTCATTAGGGTCGATATGTCAATATCACCGGGTCGGTTTTTGTAGAAAGCAGCTGCTTTTTGTTTCTGTAATAATATTGATACCAATATCTCACACCCGTATTGAATTTCTATTTTTATGTGAACATTATCGTGACTTACGCTATCCAGTTTGCTTTCATCTGCTCCGTATTCTACCAAAAGATCATACATAGCACCACTGTCCTTCAAAGCTGCAGCATAATGTAATGGAGTTTTGCCATCATTGTCTGTTGCAGTTACAATAACTGAATATCTTTGTACTATTTCTTTGGCTATATCTATATGTCCTAGTCCTACAGCCTAAATGAATCATTTATATATTATTTATCGATTAATTTGCTTGAAAAATAATTTCTTACCTTATGTAAAATAGTCAATCCATTACTATCTTTAGCACTGAGAATTATTGGTGAAACTGGATCTTCTATTTTCTTTAAAAATGTGTCTATATCATTTTTTACTACTGCACTGTGAATTTGTTTTATCGACACCTAAAATTATTCATTAGGTAATAATTCTTCTTAGCAGGAAAACTTATATTAATTTCTTTAAATTAAAAATTACCATAATAAAAGGAACTGCTTCAAGAAATTTTCGAATTTTAGGGTTGTTACTAATTTCTCTTTGAAGTTTTGAACCGTGACCTTCCCAAATAACTTGTTGTAATTTCCCAATATCACGATTGTGAATCCAAATTCGTATATTTGATGGTTTAAAATCCAATGCTGTAACATTTCAATAATTTATTTATGTGTTTGATTTATATATTATTTTAGTTAAGTAAATTAGATTAATTATTTAATTTAAGGAATTCATTCAATTAAATAAATTATTCAATAGAATAATACTTATTTTTAAAATTGAATTTCCTAAATGTCTATATCTTTTTTTCTATACTATACATTATATTAAAATAATTTTTTGTGGGTCACTACAATTAGCATCGATCAGTTAATATTTTTCTTACAAATAATGACTTTGTTCAATTGATTAAGGCCGTGTACGTAATATATATTTTGTAGATTCATTCGTTTTAACGAATCGATTGAATCGTAGGAGAAAATAGGAAAGAATAAGGAAATTGCCCTTCAACCGAGTTGAAACTTCGTTGAGTTATTGAACGAAGCAACTTACAGTTTATAAAGAATTTACACTATATCGATTTCGTGGGGTCATTGGGAACGTGTTTCTGGGTTCGTAGTTCATAGAATCGAGTGTATATCTATTATTATGGGCAGTAAATGACAGTTTGGTTGACATGAAGGACAATTTTATTGGGTCATTGTGAAAAAATCTGGAGTAGTTCAAAGTTAAAAATTTGATAATAAGTTTTAATATAAATACTCAACTTACTTTCACTCTTGCCATTGCTATGTTTCTTCTCATTCATTTTTCCTGATTGTGGCAATTCTATTTCTGAAGGATGACTCAAATAATAAGCAGCAGGATGACCTTTTTTATCACAAATACTTGCGTCGCACCCTCCTCGAATAAGGAAATCCCAAATCGTTTCAGGATCTTTGCAAGAGCTGCAGTAGTGTAATGCTGTTCTTCCTTCCTATAAAAAATTTTCACAATTATTATTGAATAGAAATAAAAAAAGAAGAATCAAATGATTGTAAGTGATTATGAAGAATATTTACTGATAGAATAATAGCTTGTGTCATCTACATCACGAGCCTTTATGAAAAGAGGATTGAAAAAAAAATTTATTTCTATATTACACTGCGATAACTATTCGTGTCTACAACAAACTAGATGTTCACGACGAATGGAAATATTGTAGACGAATATCCGGCGTTTGTCGAAATAACATCTAGCTTCCGTTGGGGTAAAGGATTACTTTAGACACGAAATCTTTTTGTACAGAGGGGAGAAAACAGGTGGTTTACACTTGGTGATTATGAATGTCACGCGAACCTTAATTTAATGGAGACAGTCTCCCAATATATGTATAAATAAAATAATTGTTTTCCAACAAGTACTATTATATAAATTTTAACACGCAATCGTTACATGACTATATAAAAATCTAAGTGACAATTTAATGATAAATTCAATTACCCGATCCTCCTGTTTGGCAGTATTTGGATAGTTGTGAATCAGCCACTCTACTATATCTGGATGATCATAATAAACGGCTTTATGAAGTAATGGTATTCCTGATGAATCCTTGGCAACAGCATATTTTTTTTTAGGTTCTTCTAGAATTTTTTTTTTCACTTCAGATAAAGATCCTCTAGTAACAGCATCATGAATGGCATTTATTTTAGTCTACGAACAAATTTTTAGTCATGTATTATATTTTTTTATTTTGCTTCATTCTTTTAATATAATGAAGAATACACATATTATATACTACCAAGTAATTTGGAAGTCCTTTGAGAAATACTCTTGTTTTTATATCTGGTGATTGCTCTCCTAGTAAACGCGTACCCCGACCTTCTAATACAATATTTTCGAGTTTCTCCAGCTCACCACGCATCAACCACGTTTTTACTGCGCTTTGACTCATTTGCAGATCTAGACAATAAAATTATTATGAAATTAAATCCAGTACATGACATGATTTATACAAAGTTGGTGTAGGTCATGAAGTCGAATTGAAGAACCTGCATTAATTAAATACAAATGCTGCATAAAAGTATAATAAAAAAAAAGATATAATTGGTTTTTAAATTAATACACGAATTTCATTGTTGTTCTTTTTTTTTATGAATTGTTTGCGCAATTATACATGCATGCAATTTAATATTTCTCGTAAAGCGGAAAAGTCTCTTGTTCAATAAAATCAAGTTTAAAATAATTATCTTGTGCAATATATTGACCACTATGGCTTAGTGATAAATGAATAAAAAATTTATAACACGATAAAGTTAAATAAACAAATAAAATAATTATCATTTATTCATGTTAACTACCTTATTTTAAAGATGATATTGAAAAATCGTAACATTCGATAATGTTGTGACTAAAGTAGATGTTCACAATGAAAGAATAACTGACATCGCTTCGTAGAAAAAAAGTGCGTATTTGAATTCGGTTACAGGCAGCAAACTAGTTGATGTACTTTGCTTATGAACGTTCCACGTGGAATAATAGCTTGTCAGTTATATGAGGACGTTAACGCGCGTGTCTCCTAGTATAGGGTGTCTACCTATACAAGCATCAATTTGAATAAATATTCATGAATACATTGGACTTTTTTTCCAGAAAATTGTTATTATTTTCCACAATAAATAATTCCGTGTAACAAATTTTAATATATTATCTTATTATTCAAAATGGGTAATATTTATTTGTAAACATTTTAAGATTTAATCGTTACAATTTTGACAAATTTAATCAGCTGATTTTTTAATTGAGGCTAAGGTTAGAAGCTCTAATTATTTCAGGGCTTTAGTAACATGATCGATGGAGAATTTTAATATTTTAAAAAGAAAAAACAAAACTAATATGACCTGTTGTAATTTCTATTTATTATAAATGAATAGCATGACATTTAATAAACAACTTTGTGTCACAAACATGTATGCAAAAGAAAAAAAATTCCAGAGTATTTTTTAATCATTTATATTTCAATGAAATACTTATAAAATACTAATTTTTCGTAGTATTCAATTAAATGGACATCAATAAAAACGAAAATTAATTTATTATAATTAGTAAGTAAAATAAAATAATAGGATTTTAATTAAAATTCATTATTTTCTAAATCATAACTTTTATTAAAATGATTGATAACTTTTTAAGAAAATAAAAACATAATTGTACATAAATAATTCAACGTCTCTGTAATTAAGAGAATTAATATTTTTCTATGTTAATTATCCTATTGTTATCATGATGGGTAATCAATTAAATATTTTTTTTATTCATTTATTTTTGCAGAAGCTTGACACATAATAATATTAAAAAATTGTTTTGTTATAAAAATACTCATACAAAAGTATAAATATTTTTTTTCCAAGATAAACAATTGTTGAGTAATTCAACATATACATATGCTGAAGTAATACTGCTTTGACAGCATTTTTTTTATAGAAAATTATATTCAGGTTAATCAATTTAAGTAATCTCATTTATAATTGAACCGTTGAAAATAAATCACTTGAAGTATCACATAAGAAAGCATGAGATTGATCATAGTGTTCTTTTTTTGTCACAATTTTATTAAAGCTAGTGGTAAAACTTTTGATATTATTTTGTTTTTAAATAAATTTTGAGTTCTTTCTAATTGATAACAAATAAATCTACATACAGATTATATTAATTGCACTGGTTGTCCATACCATAACGTATCATTGGCAGCTTATTATCCAGATTATTCTAGTGATAACTCGTTGGACTATCTTGACATGAGAGGAAAAAAATTGAATACCCTTCAGGTAAGTAATTACAATTTTTATAATCAATTAAATAAATTATTTCTTGATCTTGACTTTTATGTAAACATTTCTGTGGTATTAGGATTTTATTGATGGGCGTGAAGCTTATGTTACTGCAGCTATGGATTTGATACCTGATGTTCCTTATGGTACTAAAATATGTAGTCCAGAATTGAATGAACATTTCGGAATGCATATTCCAATTCAAGTAAGTTGTTATTCTGATATATTACTTTCATTGAATTTTATTTTATAAGTGGACATATTTTTTATTTTTTAAGGTCAGAGATTATAATAATGATTTAAAAGGAAATGGATTTTCTCGATTAGATCTTTGTGTAAGAAGCGAAAGTGATAGTTATGACGTTGCAGTTAATAAAATCATAACAATTTATATATAAATAATTCAAAATAAAGAAATTAACTAATTCGTAAGCTAAAGAGTTCATCTTCATTGATCTAAAGACTTGACGACATTGATAATATAATTTTTTATAAACCTATTGTTTTCAGTTACAATAAAATAACAGGGAAGTCTTGGTAAATGTGATTGACAATAACTTCTATTGTTATGATGAATTAATGTTATATATTTTCCTTGTTTTGATATTTTAATTTGTAGAAGCTCTATTTCACCTTCAAATCATCGTTTTTATCTTTTTATGTATTGAATTCGCAGATATTTTTTTTTATTGAAAAAATAATCTGACTTTGTCATCGATAGCTGGTTGAATGATGAATTGTCATGAAAAGTGTTTGTCATTGTTTATAGGTATTACAATTAGACGTTATTATAAATCATTCTTAACTAATTTATTTTATTATTGTGACCAATTTGTGGTTACTTGGGTTTTTTAGATTAACAACGATTTTATTTGATTTTTGAGATTTATTTGAATAAACAGGCACTGGAGTCGATGTCCATCTGGGCATTGTCATAACATAATTGAAAAATTCTTCGCCAGGACAAACAGTATTTCGACCTTGACGGTGACCAATTATGCTGTAATTGGTGCTGATTTTTCCTAATGAAACACCACACTCTATTAAATTGTGAAGAGCTTCGAGTGCGCCACGATTAGGAAGGAAATCTGTCGATAAATTATTAATATAAATATTGTACTACTTTCTAGAAAAGTCATTAAGATAATTACGAGAAAAATCTCCAATTATTGAAACTCCTATGCTTTGGGTGTTATAACCAGGTGCGTGAGCTCCTACATAATCCCAACCTCGACCTTCATAAATATTGCTGTCTTCACCAATTACGAAGTTATATCCTATATCTAACCATCTATTGGTATCTATATGTAAGTCTTGATACGAACGAACTATTCGAGAGCATTCTTTTTGATCGTAGCAATATTGTAAAATTCCTCCATGGTGAATGACTACATAAGGCACTGGACTTATTGGTAGAAGTTGATGGCCAGTCACATTCCTTGCTTTCCATTCAGAGCGATTAATTATGTTTGGACAAACTTTAAATAAACACAAAGTCTCAGTTGAAATAAAAGTAAAAACATACTTTTTGTACTTTAATTAATATAATAAATAATTACCATCAACAGTATTTTTCTGAATATTAATTGGCGAACAGAGTGTCCAATGAATAACGCAAATAAATATTATTGAGAATTTCATGATTATTGATACTGTTGATGATATAAACACGATAAAACTGAGCAAAGTTGTTAAAATCACATCAACTTATATGTTGAAAGCTAATTACACTGGGAAGTCCCTCATTTCATTCACGCCAAGCTTTCAATTCCCCACTTTTATCTGATCATTTCAGCATCAACGAATAACTTACTAAATGCTGCAATGTTAATCGCAATCAATGAATATCTCATAGATTGGTTATTATCGAAAACAAGTGCGTGAGAATTATAATTGATAAGAGATATTATCTAGTTTACTATAAATTTTTTCAAGACTACTCATACTCTTGTCTTACAACGTAATCTTGAAATTTATTAATTATTTGATAAACAGAAATTTTTTAAGTAGTTTTATACTTCGATTTGCAGTACATAGTTTCAATATTTTCCATAACTATCAAGGTCAATCCTAAAAGTAAGTCACAAAATTTTCTTATTTCAAAATAAATTAAAGCCTACTTTACCAACAAGTGAAAAGGCACATGTTGTTGGAATACTGCAGTTTAAATAATTTTTTTGTTTATTTTCGGTTACAAAGCTAATAACTAATGAACTAAAAATGTTTAAATTTGATTTTTCAAATAATGAAGAAGCTCGAGGTGTTTTAAGTAATTTAATTTGTTTATTACTTGCTCACAACAATATATTTTGTAATTAAAAGGTTATGTTATTTATATTATTTATGTTGAAGATGATAAAAACGAAGAAAACAAAAATTTAACTTGGCTTCCTGCTACTGAAATAGAAATAACTGATGAGCAATTTTCTAAAAAACTATCTGAACGAGATTATATAACTATTACGTTTGAGAATGTTGAATTAAAAATGATTAAATCAGAAAGTGCAATTTTGAATTTAAAAGCAAAAAAACATGACAAAATTATTAAAGCAGAATCACAACATTCAGATCTTATTCCTGCTATTTATGAAGGTATTATTCTTTATAGTATTAATTATGTTGAAACTTGGTCATTATTGTTATTACAAAAAAACAATATCATTTTCAGGTGGATTAAAAATATGGGAATGCAGTTATGATTTAGGAAAATATTTTTATTCTCAAAACATTTTTTGTAAAAATTCTAAAGTACTTGATCTAGGATGTGGTACTGGAATAATTGGAATTTTAGCTTTACTCAAAGGATGTACTGTTCACTTCCAAGATTATGTTCGTTTTTCTTATTATATGAAAATTCCGACATCGACAATTATTTCACTATTTATTCATTGCAGAATTCTGAGGTCATTGAATTAGTTACCATTCCAAATGTCTTATTAAATTTAGAAGACAGACAGAAAATTGAAAAAAACACTCAATTTTATGCTGGAGATTGGGAAAGATTTGTTGAATTATTAATTAAAAAATATCCGAATGAAACGGAAAAATACGATGTCATTTCAACCTGTGAAACTATTTACAATTCCTACAATTATCAAAAATTATATCAAGTTTTCAAACAGCAATTAAAAAAGGATGGTGTAGGATATATTGCTGGTAAAGTACATTATTTTGGTATAGGTGGTAATATGAAAGAATTTGAAAAATTAATAAAAACTGATAATGTTTTTAACGTTGAAACTGTTTGGAGAAGTGAAGAAGGTAATTATGATATAGAAATAATTTCAAAAAATATACATATAATAATTATATACATCTATACAAATTATAATTTTTAGGCTTACAACGAGAAATTTTAAAACTTACTCATCGACATTAGAATTAAGGCGATAATCTTTCAAATACCCATCCATCCTGACCTTCATGAATTAAAATATTATCAATTTTTTCACCAGGTTTTAATCGTCTAAAACGGATTCGATCATGTAAACGATCACTCTGTCCTTGCCAAAATTCAACTGAATTGGGAATAACAATAAATCCACCCCTAATAGAATAATAAGGTGTTGTTATTGAATCAAATATAATTGATAAAAGCAATTAGAAAATTATATCATACCAACAAGGTGGTCTAGGTACTTTATTGTCTGGAAACTGTGCTAATAATTCTCTTTCTCTGACAATTAGTGAATTTCTTCCAGCAATTACTGCACTTTGTTTACTTGCATGAGCACCTACTTGGCTTGGAAATGGTCGAGCGGAAAAATATGCATCTGAATCTTCTGCAGAAGTCTTTTCTACTCGTCCTTCGATACGTACCTTAGGTTAAATTAAAGTATAAAATTAAAAAATACAAATATTTTATTACAATTAAATAGCGATTAATGAATTCTTACTGTTCTTCTTAAAGGTTCCCAATAAAATGTTAGAGCAGCACGTGGGTTTTCAGCCTATAATTCGATTTAATTTTATCATATTTAATTTGACAATATATTGCTATTATTAATTATTCTTTGTTAAAACTTACAAGTTCACGACCTTTTCGACTGTCATAATTCGTGTAAAATTTGAATCCTTCTGCACTAAAACCTTTCAATAAAACAGGTCTAACTGATGGAATACCGTCTCTGAAAATAATTAATTGATATTTTATTTGTTAACAATAATTACAGATGAATTTATTCAGAATAAAAATGATAATACTTGGTAGCTGTTCCTAAACACATTGCATTTGGCTCGAGGATACCAGGTGTTTTGCAGGCGACATCAAACCATGCTTTAAATTGCCCAATTGGTTCTTTAGAATCTAATTGTTCTTCAGTAAATGTATCAGAGCGGTCTTTATACTTTATTCGCATACCTAAAACAATTTAGTTGTAAATTTTTTTAATAATACGTTCTTGTAAATAATTATCTTTAGATAGAAATTTTTTAATTTAGAAACCATAACAATGAAAATTGTTTAAAAAAAAAGAACTAATCAATATTCTAAATAGTATCTTAACCACAAAAGTTCTTCGTTTATATGTTTACCTTCTAGATTCTGTACCAAAGATGCACTTTGTGTTGACATTTTAGTTTGTGAAATGTTTTTTGCAGATACTTGAACAACTTTTTTAATGATAACGTTATTAAATGTTGACCTGATACACAATAAAAACTGTTTTGCCATGGACTATTACTGCGTCGTAGTGCTTTCAATTAATTACTGAGAAAAATCTTTGTAGTATAGATAATAACGATAGACAACACACGTTGAACATATGGAACTGTGAGTATGCATTACTTGTTTGAAGCACTGTTATAATAAATTATTACTAGTAAACTAAAAAGGAAAGAAATACCAACTATTGCTCAGATTCACGGGTTTATAAAGTGTTTCGATTGGCTAATTTGATGGGAAATTGTCATCACTTGAATGAACGTAACCTCGCTACTTGAAATTAGATAGTAACAATTTCAGTGTATTGAAAAATCAAAATAATGGAGTCGTTTTAACGATTTCTAATAATTTCTCTATTGTTTGTCAATAACAAATAAAAGTTTTTCAAGAAATTAAACTAAGTTAAAAATCAGTTTTTTCATTCTATCTGTCAGTAATTGGTAAGTTTCGTAATTTTTATTTACTAGTAACAAGTGGTTTTATCTATCAAAATTTTTTCAACGAAAAGAAATAACATAAACCTGTTACAAACACTAAACAAACAAGCTCATAATAAACATTAAAACTTTCTTTATTAGTTCAATGAGTAGAAAATAAATTTACAAAATAATGAATTTTTTACAATGCATTTCAAACAATTTTATGAAGCCAATTATTTAATTGTTCAATATTCACTTCAGATTCTGATTCTTTACAATGTAAGCTGCATTCAGCGAAATCAACTTGGTTATTCAAATGAGAAAATTCAAAATTTTTCTCTCCTGCTCCAAGGTATGTAGTTTCCACAGATGCGTCTGTATCGACAAGTTGTTTTAACTTTGTAACTCGAACGAGATTGATTTCTTTTTCTAGCATAGCTTTTATTGCTTTACTGGTTTTAGCCATTGTTTGATCTTGTTTATTACAGAGTATTAATATAGGAAGTTTAGATTCAATGCTTGAATCAGAGAGAAGAGTATATAAATATCTGTAATTTTAATCAGTAAATTAGTATTGAAATAATTAATATGATTATTTTATAAAACAAATTACTTACTCAGCAACATCTCGGATGTCTTTTTGAACAGTTACAGAATCAATAACAAATATTAATCCTCGAGCAGATGATTTATATTTGTCAAAAAATTTATTTCTTAATCTCTCATGACCAGGAATGTCAATAATTTGAAGATTTTGCTAAAATTTGGTGTTAATTAGTGTTAATAATGATACAAACTACCAGTTATTATTTAATAATATCTGTGTTAATGTTTAATGAAATAAAATTTTTTTTTTCAGCACTTACATCTTTAATTGTGATGTCACCAACATTTTCCTTTGACGACAAGTATGTTTCTACAAACTTGGAATGAATGAGCCTAGCGTAGAGCAAAGTTTTACCGGCATCACTGAGCCCTGTAAGAAGAACACTACGGCCAACAGATCTTCGTCTTTGCCAAAAGATAAAAATTACTGAAAAAGTAAGAAAAGAATAATTATAAATTTTGAAATGTCCATTTCAATTGACAAATTCTGTACAATCAAATTTACAATGGAAGCCGTATTTTATAAATTTTTTACAAAAGTACAGAAGACGTTTAAAGAATATTAAGTAAAAAATTCTAATTGAAAGGAATGTTTGATAAGTAACTGAGAAATGTACTCTTTTTTGTATTATATGTATTATTACAATGTATTATGCAGATGTTTTTTTTTAGTTATTCTTCTCATGTTTTATAACTATTGTAAATACCATGAAATACGCTTACTTTAATAAATTGTGAATGTAAGAAAAATTTTAATTCATCAATAAACTATTTTCCATATGTACTGTAATGCCAATGGTTTATGGAAAAAGACATTTGTATAAATAAAAAGTTGTATTATATTTTTAATGAACATCACCTAAAGTTATGATAACAGCAAAAACAGCTACTACTATTCCAAATATTTGCGATATTTCAGTATTTTCCACAAGTGGTTCTACACGTTTCTCCATTTTTATGATAATTTCAACAGCTGCACTTAGTGATTACACAAAATTTGATGTCCATGTGTCTCTTTGATTTATCTTTTTGGTTAGATTTACAAAAAAATATAAATAATAACATGAAATTCCCTAGCATCAAAGTAAAGAATACTTTTTTACTGGGTGAGAAAATTGGCTCCTTTGTTAGTTGTGTCTATCCCCAATAGATGGCATTTAAATGCTACTCCAGTTGGTGGCGCCCTCTATACTGCGGCGCTAAATAAAGCGTCAAATTAAATGCACTCATTATAAATTATGCTTTCATTTTACGAGTTTATTAAATGTAAAATATTTTTTTTTAAAATTGAAATCTACATTCAATTTATGAAGAAAGTTTAAGTGTTAAAAATTGATCTTTAATTTTACTTGGATGTAAAGTTTAGTTGGTTTACAAAAAAATAAAGAAAGGCAAACAGTTGAGAGAAAATGTTGAAGAGAAAATTTAAGTGTATTCTGACTTCTTATGGTCGTTGTGTATGACAAAAAGAGACCGCCCAGGTTTGTATAGAATAAGCAATTATATTTCACGAAAAAGATTCAAAAATAAATGCAAAAAAGAACTGGAACCAACAATATCTTTGAATTAATGTGAATGGAATGGTAAAAAAAGTTGCTTTTTTGCTCGTATTATATACACGTATATATAAAACAGTAATTTAAGACATTTAATACGAGTAAATTTGAGCTTACTTCCGTGATTAAAAAGTGGTATCTCCAAAAATAATGGTGTGAATAAAGCTATGTCTTGCACCGCCCATCGTAATCTTCTTTAATTTTGGAAGAAACGCTCTGACGAGTTAACACCTGATGTAATTTACAGCGAAGCGAATTAATCTGATACACAATCATTTCACCACGACGTATATTACTCTGGATATCATCATTATTATCATTATCCTCATCATTATTAATTATTAAATGTATTATTATATCATTGTGTTAATGCATAAAACGTTGGCACATGAAAAACATTAAAGCGAATACATTTTTTTTAATACAACGAACAATAATAATAAAACATAGTATTAAAATGAAGCTTCATTCAAAAATATCTTATGCATTAATCCACTTTAGATTTATAATTATTTTAATATACACATTACAATGAGATGTGAATAGCCATCATAAAGAAATAATGAAATTCTAAAAGCTTTTAAATTCTAAAGTGTTAGAAGGCCAATAGGTTTGACTAACATAAAGAAGCAACTTTGTAACAAAACGGACCATAAAAGTATGCTTTTGACTCTCATACGAATATTGCCACATAAATCTCCGTCCGTTGAATAAAACGTAGTAAGGATAAAACGATTCAGTATAAAACTAACTGTTAAAAATTTCGAGTACTAAATAGTAAAAATACTACCCTATACCTGAAGGTATTGATATACGTGTTGCTAATAAAATGTTACAAATTCGTTATACACAGGTTAGTTTATGATCCATTTAGAGTCATGAAAAACGTTCCTTGATTGCATGATATTTTTCAAAGTCATTATTTAACTTTTACAATCACTATTGCTTGTAAAAGATAATTTATTTAATAACCGAATTATTTTTCATTCAATTATTTGACTGTGAGAATCGATTAAAATTCATTTTCTTATTATTTATAATGCAAAAAGGAATGGTTTAGCATCAGAAGGAGACATTAAGGCCTATATATTTCGACAGTTACGACACTTCTTAACGATCGGATTAATTTTTATGGTTTATCGCGAAACGAAACTAACACATAAAAAATTCCTCCATTCCATTACAGGGCTTTTATGTTCTAGCTCATATATGATGTCTTTTAATGTATATCTACCTGGCAGATGTGCTGCAGTTGTTGTAAAAAGTTTGATAGATCCACTTCACTTTGTATAAACAAGAAAAATGCTCGAGTAAATAATTAAATCTTTATAACATTACCGCAAACAGTTGGTAATTAGTTTAAATGAATTTGTTTCTATGAAATGATTATTAAAAGAAGTATAATTATTACAGAAACCAGGCATAGTAATAAAGTCATCTGGTGCTATAAACGTTGACGAGTTTCTTTCATCAATTTTTCGTCACACTCTCCAAGAGATTGCTACCATGGATGAGTTTTTCTTTCAATTCGTGAGAAAAGTTTCACATTACTTTTATATCTTAGAATCTAGTATTTTTTAGATTTTTTTAGGAAAAAAAATATGTATGTATACATGTGAGATACGAAAGCGAATGCAGTCATCTTTTATTACTTACTCCAAAAGCGCAGTGAACCTTTTAGAAATGTGTTGATTCAAAGATTTCTTGCTTTTGATTCGTATCTAAACGTGTAAAATCCACATTTGAAGAATTTCTATATATTTCCCCTTTCGATAATGCATCAATGGCGATCCTTGTGTTTTGTAGGAAACCAAGTGACATGGGTTACATATATAGCTTTATATCAAAGCTTTTGTTACGCCAAGGAAAGGATTTTCGATTGTTCGATTGGGTAAATCTAGAAAAAAATATTGATTCAAACAACAGCTGGCATTTTATCATATTATCATGGTCAATATTAAACCAAGATTTTCATTTTAAAATTTCCAAAAAATATATATATTGATAAATTCAATATTTTATAGTTAATATTATTTTGATTATAATACCAGAAAAATGGCTGGTTTTTTCGATTTAATTTAATATTTTTATTTTTAACAGAATTGTCTGGCAGCTGGTGAATAGTTATCCTTTTTTTTATAGATAGATAGAAGAGATGATTTTATTTTCATGGTATAAGAACCCGTTTTGCTATCCCTTTACTCCTACGCAACACACGTTGATGTGAACCAACCCTCAATTTTCGCACAAAGAAAAGGCTCGGGAGTCTTTATATAAAAATCGTGACACAATAAGAGCTTTGTTCAGTAACTTACCCCATCCACTTTGATTCAATCAGGCGATTTTCTTGAAAAAAATTTAACCAATTTCTTCTGAATCTTGGAATTCGGTCACACATTGAATAAGAACCTTTGTTGTCCAGTTGTGTTCACTAGAGCATACATTTTTTTTATTCCATTTTTTTTTATTATTATTTCTTCTTTTAATCATCAAATATTCTTTTGATTAAAAAATTTCTTTATTCCGATCAATTTATAATGTTTTAATTTTTCATAATCACTTGTAGTATTCAAGTACATTTTGCAACATTTATTGAAAAATAAAAAAATGTTATTTCTCGCTGGACAATTTCACATTTGTAAGATTGCTTGAGAATTACAACGGTAATTAACTTGAATGGATGCAGTTTATGGATGGGTAGAAAGAGGATTGTGAGGACTTGTTGGGGATCAATGGAATGTGTGGATCGTGTTCAGTGCTAATTGCCCATAGGCAGCCATGTTTTTATGTCACAAAAATTGACATCAATCCCACCCGCATCTACTTCGACCACCGAACAAACAGCCATTCCTTTCCAATGGATCGTAGATTCCTTGCTAATTTTTTCATATATCCTATTATATCCTTTTTTTCGCTCATCTATCAATCATTAAAAACAAAAATACTTTTGATTATAATTAATATTTAAATAATGTTTATTTATTTATAGATAAACAGTAATTTTGTAAATAACTTCACAGTGTAGTGCTTAGCTAAGCGGAAATGCAAGATTGAAGTAAGATCTTATATGCATTGGTGTTTAACTCAGAAGTTGCGTAAATGCATCAGTCGATGTGTTCGTCTTCCATCGTGGAATGAATAAAAGATGCGAAGACTAAGGCTTCAGCATTACTCATTAACTGTCGACGTTCACTTGTAACTACTAGAATTCATGCGGGAACACGTAAAGACGCAACCTAAAAAAGATAAAAGAAGAATAAAAACGGTGGAGATAAAAGACAAGAGACACTGGGCGAAGGACAAACGCGACAACGACATGAAAACTAACTGGAGGACAAAAGCAGTCATCTTACATACTAATAAGTTCTTCAAATATTTAGCTGTATCAAATTCATATGAACATAAGGGCTAAGATTATACATAATTGGATTTGAAACGAAAAAATGAAGAAGCAGAAACAAACGAACTGTCTGTGTCTTTCATAGTCTGATAGACCTAGAACAAGAAGCCGCACGTTTAAAAACGTCAAAGAGTTTCATTCATGTCTGCGGCAAACATCACTTGGTACTGACATGTGTGCTAGTGTCTGACTATTGTAAACTCTCGGATTTATGTTCTTTCGGCAAGAACCAAAGCTTCCGACTAGAGCATTCAGCATTTGTTACAACCATCTCTTACATAATATTACTATATCTTCAATATTTTTGCTGATCCATACACGCTCCTTAAATGTTAATCAATTTTGAAATTTTTTTTACCTTGACACTTTAGGGCTAGCTGATTGATCACCAAAAACCGTCATTAATATTTACGTTCTTTTATAATAAAAAATTAAATAAACAATATTGTACATATATTCATTATTATTTTTGTTGATGCTTTCAAGTGACATGTTTGTTTGTTGCAATCTCCAGGATAGGATCTAAAAGTCAGTAAAGACTTTATTGGTTCCATAAACTATACTGACATGTTGCTACTGAAGATAAGAAGTGAATCTAGTAGAAAATAAAAGAGAGTGTTGCTCTCTAAAAGTTGTAGAGATCCAAGAAAATTTATTGATGGCAGGTGAGATAGATAGCCATGGGATTGGCTCTGTCATTTGAATTAAGCGTACGATAGTTGGTTTTTTTTTTTTTTTGTTCAAACGATAAGAGAAATAGACGCCACTAATTTCGTCTTGTTCAATATAGACAGCTTATTTGACTTGATTGTCGTGTGGGAGTAGTCTCTGCTACAACAGAAGGAAATTAAATAATGAACAAAAGAGCTGATGATAAATTTCTATAATTATATTTGGCAATGAAAAATAATCAAATATATTACTTACACTTGTCATAAATCTATGCAACATCATACATGTGATGACGAATGGAAATAAATGTTTTTTTTTTTTTTTAGCAGAGCATTCCATTCTTGATGCTCATCACGTGCATTGAACTGTAATAGACAGTTGGATGAATTCTCTTTGT